AACGGATTAAGTTCGTAAGTAGAGGTACCACTGTATATTGTTTTTCTCCTCTTAATGTTGCTGTTTGATATTTTAACATTTTTGAAGAATTCCTTTTGGTGACCATTTTCAAACTACAAAGAAGTTTTGAAGTAATTCAATAGGGAAATAAAAATATAATCATGCCTCAGCCATGGAAATCATCCCACTGATTCCAGATTGCAATAGAATCATATGGTCTTCACAGTGTTGGCAGGTATCTGTGGTATCATCTCATACAGACTGAGAAGGCCTCTTTGCACTAGATATTACTACAAGGTTGTAGCAGTGGTGAAGAAATTTAACTTTTTGCAATCCTCATTACAGAATAGATGTTGAGATTGGATCTAACTTGTAAAGTAGGGTTGCATAACGTAACTACTTGGAAAAACCGTTCACCTGCCCATTTGCAAAACCATAAAGACTCTAAATATTTTTTAAAGGACAGTTTAAATGGTATGGGGGGCCTCAAAAGCAAAAATAAACTAAAACGAGAGTGCTGATCATTTTGTCTTGGTCTACATGTTTGTTGGGGAAATTGCAGGAACATATGGATCGCAGAATATTAAATGGAATCACTTCTCTAAAAACTGCTTGCTTTTTTGCTCACTTAATTTTATGTTTTCTTAATAGGAACTAAGAGAAACCTACTGCACACAGCAGAAAGCACTGGAGCAGCTCCACAAGATTAAACATGAAAAAATTCAAGAACTGGGAAGAGAAAAAGCCGAGCTTGCTTTGAAAAAAAGAATAGAAGATGAGGCTACACGGTAATGTTTTTAAAGTATTCAGCATTTTTTCCTCTAGCCTCTTCATTTATTCTCTCTGTTTCAGACTAATAGGCAGCAATAATTTTCACAAAAACTGCAGTTTTGAGGGTCCTTATGGATGCCAGCATTTACCACTCTTTACTTATTATGTTGCTATGACAGAATTAAAATCAGAGTTAACTTTATTCTTAACATCCTGCATCAGAATACATGCATTTCAGTGAATAGTACACACTAACGTTGCTATAACCAAGACTTTGCATCATACAGATGGACCTAAAACCTTCAGAAGCACAGGAAGGGAATCAGAGGGCAGCTGGTATAAGGTTCCATGCCAAGGGTTTGCTACTCAATCTTGCTTTTCAATATTAGTATCAGAATAATTACATTTGGTTCTTTTCCATCTTTCAAAAGAAAAGCAAAACAAGAAAAGGAGAACTTGTGGCAAGAAACTATCAGGAAGGAAGAAGAAGAAAGAAAAAAGCGTCTGAAAGAAGACCGAATGCAGGAAAAAATCCATGAGGAAAAGCAAAAAGCTGAGGAGGCCATTGCACGAGAGAGGGAGATGCAGAAACAAAAACTTGCAGAGGAGAAATTTGAAGAGGAAAGACAAAACAAACAAGCAGAAATTCTGAGAGAGACTGAGCAGCAAAGACAGAAACAAAAGGTAGAAGACAAAAAAAGACAGGAGAAGATTGCAAAAGAAGCTGAGGAGAAGCTTAAACGGTTGGAAGAAGGGAAGAAAAGAAAAGATATTCTTAGTTTGCAAGATTCAGAGAAATCTGTTTCTCACTTAAATGAAAAAAATGTAAATGTACTTAAACAAACAAAGGGAAATCTTAAGTCTGTGCTGAAAAATGAAGGTAACTACTCTTTTTTTAGATATGGGTGGTTGGGTTAGGTTTATTTTATAGTTTGAAACAACAGTTAAGATCTTGAGATGGTTTCCACTCTTGAGATGGGAATGTCCCCAGAGGAGTTCCCCTCATGGATGCTCCAACCAGATAGTAGAAGGCGGCTTTTGTTGATTTCCCTTCTCCTGTGCTCTGCTTTGAAAACCTACTGAGGACAGGGGACTCTTATGGAACATGGGTAGTTGCTACAGAAGAAGGTTCCTGTGCATTAATGGAAAGGCTTTTGTTATGCACAGACATCTAGATAGGATCTAACCCATTGCTAGCTGTCTACACTGTCTTTTGCTGCTTCTGATTGGTGAGGAGACATGAGCTTAAAGGGATGAGAGCTTTTCAATAGTAATGATTCATGTAGATTTGGCTTTTCCCGTGGCTTAAGCAAGAGGACAGTGTTGTGCACTTGCAGAAATCCTGACTTACACAGAAGTGGACTTTTGAAAAAGCATAATTGTCAGGACTAGCAAACAATTAATGGTTTCTCCTTGACTCTTCAGGCCATGCGGTTAGTGCTGCTGATTCTAAGACATCGGTAGGCTTTGTGAATTATAGAGCTTTATACCCATTTGAAGCCAGGAATCAAGATGAGATAAGTTTCCATTCTGGAGATATTATTGAGGTAAATGATCATTTTTGAATACTAAATAAATACTCAGTATACTTAATCCCAAATAATTTTGTTTCTTCTTTACAATATGCACCAACTGACGTGTAGCAAAATTAAAACATATTTGTAAATGAGTAAAAAATGGATAACATATTTGATTAGCCAACCTAGTATTTCATGTGTGTTTATATTTTCTATCCCTCCCCTTTCCAGGTTGTTGAGAAAACTGAAGGGGAACCCGGCTGGTTATATGGGAGTTTTCAAGGACATTTTGGCTGGTTTCCATGCAATTATGTAGAAAAAATACCTGAAAATGAGAAAACTGTTTCACCTCCCAAGAAAGCCTTACTTCCTCCTACAGTCTCTTTACCAACTGCTTCAGTTCCTCTAGAGTAAGTATAAATTTATTTATTCAAAGAAGTAATTTCTCTCTGCCTGCATGCTAAGGATTCTTTAGCAGCTGCAGAAGCCAGTGAATTATAAAGGATATTTATAATTTATAATATAATTTATAATGCCTCCTTTCCTGAGGCATCACTTCTGGAAGGCCTTGAAGGCTTTTTGGCAGCTTTGTTACTGATGGTTTCACTTACCGTGTTTTATTAAAAGTGATTCCTTTAAGTTTATATCTTGATCTTACAGAGCACATTCACCCAGTAAACCAGCAGATGAAGCAGATTATCAAAATGTATCTTTCGCAAATTTAAACGCTAGCACGTGGCAGAAAAAGTCTGCGTTTACTCGTACTGTTTCCCCAGGATCTGTTTCTCCCATCCATGGACAGGTATGTTCTTAGTACAGAAAAGAGCTGAGGGAGGTTGGGATCATCAAAATGCTAAGGATACTGAACCGCATGACTTTTGTACTTTGGGGGTTTTATATTTTGGATTTGTTATTAAATGTATATTTGGGGTTCTTTTGTCTTTGTGGATGTCATTTTATTTTATGATAAGATTGTTAGCTGCCCAGAGCCTTTGGGAATGAACAACCTACAAATGAAATATATAAATAAATAAAACAATATATTGCTGTAATCTTCTAATTTGTATCATTCATTTAGGAAAAAAGTATTCTATGAAAAGTATATTCTGTATTCTGTTTCATGCAAGATAATATTACCTTATATTCAAGTAATATAAGGCTTGTAACCTACACATTTTTTTATGAAAGGTTACCCTGTCTACCACACAAATTTTCAAGGTAGTTTACCAGACCTTGTCCGGCTTTCATTATATTTTATGGAAAATTTTCCATAATTCAGTTGGAATTTCTGTTCAAGGCAATAGATAAAAACCTTACTTATGGCCAGTTAAAAAAAACTATGTTGTCCTTAAAAGACAACTAACCTACTTTAATAGATTCTTTAAAAGATAGTGGTGGATATAAGTGTTCTTCCTTACATGGTGGAGTGATTCATTTTCTCTAGACTATCCCAAATCAATTATATTCCAAGGATGTTCAGCCTCTTCCAAAGTAGAAGTGCTAATTTGTTTTAAATTATCATTTTCATGTTTTTGTAGTGAAAAAGGTTTTTTTAGTATATAATTTGTATCTTGATAAATAAGAAAATGAGAGCCAATTTGGTGTAGTGGATAAAGCACTAGGCTAGAAACCGGGAGACCATGAGTTCTAGTCCCACCTAAGCACAAAGCCAGCTGGGTGACCTTGGGCCAGTCACTTTCAGCCCCAGGAAAGAGACAAGGGCAAACCACTTCTGAAAAATCTTGCCAAGAAAATTGCAGGGACTTTCCCAGGCAGTCTCCGAGAATTGGAAACAATTGAATAGACAGAAAAAAAAATAAAAAATAAAACTTGCAATGGCTGGCAATTAACATATTACCTTTGACAGGGGCAAGCTGTAGAAAACCTAAAAGCACAAGCACTTTGCTCTTGGACTGCAAAAAAGGATAATCACTTAAACTTTTCAAAAAATGACATAATTACTGTGCTGGAGCAGCAAGAAAATTGGTGGTATGGAGAAGCTGGTAGAGGAAGAGGATGGTTTCCCAAATCCTATGTGAAGATTTTGCCTGGAAATGAATGCCAAAGAGAGGAGTAAGTAAGGCTGTCAGAATGTTTAACCTGTGTGGTAATGTGTAGAAGATGAATTGAAGACTTTGGTTGGGATTTGGAGGGATTCATATGTACATCTCTGTTTCCCCAGAGACTATTTTTTCAGAGTATGTCTCTTTAAACTTTGCTGGCTTTGAATATTAGTTTTAGAATTAAGAATAGTTGCACAAATAAATAGTTATTCCCCTTTAAACTGTTCATACATTAGATTCCCAAACTGTTGGATAAATTCAGAATTTTTAAAATGAAGTTGGAAATTGGGAAACATATTTGGAAGAAAACCTTTACCAGATGTAGTGGTTTTATCTTAACAAATATCATCTTCATGCAGAACTTAGAATTCTCACCTCCCTTCCTTTCTTACTTCTGTGTTCTTATTAGTGCCTCCAGCTGTAGGGTTTGTAGGAAACCACCCAACTTTAAACCATAAGTTCCAATGGTGGATTATTTTAAATCAGAATTAATATTAACCATAGTACCCCAAAGTATGGCTAGTGTGAGACAGAAGCTTCACTTTGAATCCACACCAAGTATAGGTTAGGGAGGGATATATGAGAACAGAAAGAAATGAGGCTCCATCCCATCATATTCAGCATGACTTGATGAATCGATATTTTCCCTTATTTCCTAGCTTCTCTAGGTTTGAATCGCTGAATACTGAAAAATAACCATAACTCGGGTTTTTTTCTGCAGACCAGAAGCTGTTTATGCAGTTGTAAATAAGAATCCTTCCACATCAACTTGTGTGTCAGGTGAGAGTAAAAATTGCATTTAAGCAGTCTGATTCTTAAGTCTTTGAATGGGAAAAGGAATCTTACCAGACACAGAGTGATAATGAACATAGTACTGCACAGTGTTTCAGATATCCATACTAGAACACTAACATATGTTTATCTGTCAGATGCTACAGTTGCTCTGAGGTAAATATTTGTAATAACATGGATAGAAAAGCTTTTTATTCTGGTCCCTATATATTTTACCTGAATGTACTTTTTCCCTAAGACTTTAATAAAATAATATAATTAAGAATGTAGGTCATTGCAGGTTAAATTGTGAAACATGATAAGGAAACAGCTTGCTGGATTCAGAAAAGATGACCTGGGCACAGCACTCAAACTCTCTCTTATCTGCTAACCAGCATTTAACTTGAGTGAAGAATAAACTTGCTTTGCAAAAGCAGTGCCAACCTGGCAAATATCTAAATGTGCAGTGCATATGTGTGTGATGAGGGTATGTGTATATCTTTCCCTCCCTTAGTAAAGCTATGCTACAAATCACAGTAGATAGCATCATGTTTGTAATATCTAAGTTACTGTTTCTCATATGTATAACCTAGGTTCAGTCTACTTTTTCTTACTTTAAATCATATGAAAAGCTCCTCTAAGTGCTAGATATGGATATAAAATTGTACATGAGTGGACAGTATACATTGTAAAAGAGTGGTGTAAGATGTTCTAAACGTGAGAGGAACATGTTCATATGTGATTAAGCTATTGGACTATTACATTTTGACTTCGAATTTTACTGTCATGTATCTATAATTGTTTCCTTTTGTTGTCTGACATTACATGAGCATTAGTCAAAGGTTTTTAAGTAGAAAGGATTGCATGAATCAGTATTTTACAATCCTTAGTCATGTGCAGATTTACTACATGATTGAGTTTTTCTCTACCTTTTCAGAATATATAGCACTGTATCCTTATTCAAGTTCTGAACCTGGTGATTTAACTTTCACTGAAGGTGAAGAAATAGTAGTGAGTCAAAAAGATGGGGAATGGTGGACTGGAAGAATTGGTGATAGAAGTGGAATCTTTCCTTCAAACTATGTCAAACCAAAGGATCATGATGTAAGACTTCCTTGAATGTTCTGGTTTGGGGATTTATTTATTTTTTTTAAGTTTGGAGATGCAGGATTTCAAGATGAAAACTGAGAATCTGTTCCAGTGATACTTGTTTCCAAGTCCCAGCAAGTGTAGTAGGAAGGAATTCAGCTTTGCCTCAGAGAGTAAATATTGCCCATTCTGATAGCATTACTGACCAGGGATAGGAGGCAGGGATGATGGGGAGAGGCAGAATCTGCTGCAGACAGCATTGATTTCAGATTTTCTGAGACTGTGCTGTGCTTCAAAAATGGACGCTTGCACTAAAAAAAACAGAGCTGAAATTAAACTTGGGTTCCAAATTGTTGTTTGTTCTCTGTTTCTTGTAGACTTCTGCTACAGCTAGCAAAACAGGAATGTTAAATAAAAAACCTGGTGAGTATTATTGGTTTTTTCATGGTCTTGTGTAGTATAATCATTCACTTTACACTGATACATATTTCTCTTTAGAAATTGCTCAGGTTACGACAGCCTACAGTGCATCAGGAACGGAACAACTGAGTCTCGCTCCTGGACAGCTGATTGTAATTTTGAAGAAAAATTCTAGTGGGTGGTGGCAGGGAGAACTACAGGTAATAGAGCAAGAAGTTCCTCTAACTGGATATCATATTTAATATCTAGATGAGCAAATTATGTCTGTAAAGCTATTTGCTGCTAAAAAAGGAAAAAATATTTTGAGCAAAAATGCATTTATTTTAAGAAGAAAAAAAAACTTCTAGGAAAAAAGATCTCATTGATTGATTGACTGATTGCGACCAAACGCAATATACAAGAGTTTCAGATAAATGAAAGCAAGAAGGAATAAGCAAATGGAAATGTCAAACACTTATCTGTCAAAAACTAGATTCATATCCCTTTTACATCACTGTTGAGAAGAATTTAGCACCCCTCCTCCTTATTGCTGTAAATGAATCCACTAGTAGAAAAAACACATTTTCTTTGTCCAGCTGCCCCAAATGCATAAATAATAAAGGCATTATTAAGTTTGAGACCATGGTTGGTACATAAGACAGGGCAACAAACCATGAGATAGTGATTCAAGCCACCAATCTGAGCAGGGGCAAAAGTGGGCATGTAAAAGGATATTAATATACCTTTTGGATTGCCAATTGTCTTTTTCAGGCAAGAGGGAAAAAAAGACAGAAAGGATGGTTCCCTGCTACTCATGTGAAACTGTTGGGTCCCAGCAATGAAAAGACTGTGCCAGCTGTTCATCCAGGTGAGCAATTAAAGCTTGTTTCTGATTGGTGGTTCACCCGTTGTGGTAAAGCCAAAATGTTTCTTTTTGGCTTAGCATACTGTATGATTTCATCCACTGTAATTTGTAACCTATGGTTTGTGACTTAGATTCATGTGTGAACCCATGCAGTTGTAATTTATTCAACAAACCACAGGTAGCAAAGCATAATTCAGCACAGTGTACAAACCAGATTCTTGTAGATTTAGGCGCAAGCTATATATCTTGGGTTTTCTTTTCAGTTTTCTTTTTTTGTTTATAAGTATATTTTGTTCTTGATAACCATTGCATTGTAGTTATTTATTGTGTTCTTTTGTTTTCTTCTTAATTTGTTGCATTTCTTTGACTGCCCTTCTCAATATGTAAATATATTGAATATATATATGTTCTGGTTCCTCTTCAGGTTATATATAAAAGCATTGATGTAGAGTTCTGATTAATCATCAAGGAATGGGAAAATAAAATACATTAAAGCAAAACTGTTTGAATTTTATAAAGTTTTGGACTTTTCTTCTTCGTAAAGTATAAAGGACAAATCTTTGTTCTGAGAGGCAGTCTAGAAAATGGGCACAAGAGAATGAAAGAAAAGCAAAATGGAGGCAGGATTAGACTAAGAAATAAGTGTGATGTTTATACATGTTTGAATTTAGTTGCAGCAGAGTATGGGAGATCATATATTTATTGAATTTATTGTATATAATGTAGAATTTTTGGAGGAGAGAGTATATAAATAAGTATAAATAAGTAATTTTAGGGATTTTGAATTTAAGGTTTGAATATATATATATATGTATATAACCAAAGTTTATTTTCTTTAAGGATTAATTGAAAAAAAAATCTGACATGTATTTTTTCCACATTAAAATGTCCTAATTAGCATTGTACTGCTTATTAAGATGAGTAATAAATATATCGGCAAGAGAAAACTATGTTTGCAAATTTTGGCAAAGCTTATCTAATATTCACAAATTATGGCTGCAAGTTGCTGTTTGAAAATCCAAAGTGTTTCAGTAAATGTTTTTCACCAACACTCTACCTTAAAAAAAAAAGCAAAGAGGACACTCTATACCTTATTCCAATTGGGTTTTTTACAGTCCTATCCTTTCATGGTAGCTTGTTTTAGCAAGTGAGTGCAGAATGGTCTCATTCCTGTTTGCCGAGATAATCCAGAAATCAAACACTTTTCAACTTTGAAGCAGAATCAGGCCACTGAGAATAAGACTGCTATTTCTATATTATGGGAGAACTTTGTGGCTATGTATGATTGTAAATTAAAAGAAAAGGCAAGTATTTAACATGCACACACCTAAATAATTAGTTTTGTAAATTTCCAGGCAGGGATGGGGATTTTTGTCAAATACTGAAATAGTTTTTGTTGTTGTTGCTCCTACTGAAGAACATACCCTTTGTTGTGTGTATTTCTTGTTTCTATTAGTGTGTCAAGTGATAGCGATGTATGACTACTTGGCAAACAATGAAGATGAACTCACTTTTTCTAAGGGACAGCTCATAAATGTACTGAACAAAGAAGATGCAGATTGGTGGCAAGGGGAAATCAATGGCATTTATGGCCTCTTTCCTTCAAATTATGTGAAGATGACTGTAGACTCTGATCCAAGTCAACAGTGTAAGTAAAACTTGCTTAAGTAGATGATTGAATTTCTCAGAATTCATGCTTTGGTATGGAATAAATTAAAATACCTCACTCAATATGCGCATGCACTTGTATGATCACATCCATCTCTTCAACAGGAAAATAGTGAGTTGTTATTAAAGCTGTAGGGCTAAAAATAATGTCTAAAATAGTTTAAACTAGTCACAGAATTCTGTTCATGAGAGCGCAACTGATTTTATTTTTAAAGTTAAACACACTTGAACTCTCTAGAAATAGAGATGCATTACTATGAACCCAGTACCTTTTTAAACATGGGAGTAATTTTTAAGGAAATTGTTTGGAAAGTTCAATTAAGTATCCATTTCAGTTTTTACTGCTGAGTTTCATTTAGGATTATGCTGTGCTCTTCCTTTGGGTAATGAGATATTTATTTGAGTGAGTGAGTGATAGACTGATTTAATTTATGTCTGGTGCAATCAAGGACTTCTCAGTGGTTCATAGTTCTACAAACAATGTAATAAAATGTCCTCAGTATAATAAGTACAATTAAAGTGACAACATAAGTAACACAATAAAACAGCCATAATGCACAGATAAAACAAGTGGTTTGCCCTTGCCTGCTTCCTAGGACTGAGAGAGAGTGACTGGCCCAAGGTCACCCAGCTAGCTTCATGCCTAAAGCAGGACTAGAACTCACGATCTCCTGGTTTCTAGCCTGCTACCTTAACCACTATACCAAACTGGTGTAACAGAATAACAAAATAACAGAATCTTGAAAGCCTGTCAAAGTTTTTCTCTGCCCACCTAATACCAAACAGAATCAAGGCAGGGTTATTTTGAGTTTCTCTCTCACGCTTTCCACTTTCTTAGGAGTAAGCTGCCATTCATCCTCATTCATTCCTTCACCAAGGTGATTTCTACATTCTTTTACATGATCAGATGCTCTTCACCATTTTATTAAATTAAAAGCAATTTGCTACTCAAATGCTAAGATGCTTTGAAATATTGGGAATTAACAGACCTACTCATAGGTAAGTGTGATAAAAAAGCTGTGGAGATATGCATTTAGCCTTGCCCCCTATGTTTAGCATATGGCAAAGCATGCAGCCCCACGGTCTCTTTCACCATGCATAGCCTAATTCATGTAAGTGGTGCAGGGATAGAAGTAGCAATTCCTGTATGGGAATGATGATTTGGACAGAATGGACCATGTAAACAAATAAAATCTCCAAAACCACAGCCATAAAATTAATGCTTATTCCCTTACGGCAACATACGTCTCAAGAAAAATCTAAATTTCATTTAACAGCAAAGCAAAAGTGTGAGTTCAGGTATTGAAAGTTGAGTTACATTTCAGGTTCACAAACCTTCAGTTAATCTGATAAAGTAATTTTTCAGTTTATATTCTGGCACGTTACTACTGCTTTTCCAGTTCAGCCAGTCCTTTTTTCATCTGAACTAATTTTAGTAGTGATTTTAACTATATTGTATTAGTTCTGAGGTGTTTATATTTTATTTTTTTATTCTTTGCCATCTTGTGCCTGATGAGTTGAAAGATGATGTATAAATAAATAACCCCATTTTAACTCATTTGCAGTCTGAATTATGAGTGCACATTTGGAAAAAAATGAAAATATTCTTAACTTCCAAGGCCAAGTGAGCCAGTGATTAGAGTAAGGCAAAAACAGACTCAAAACGTAAGGAATTAAAATTGTTTCTTCTGTAATGGTGGGTGTCCTTAAATGTTTAATACTTCTCATTTATTCCAGCAAGCAAATTAGGTTCATTCACTTCATCTTCCAGGATAAAATCCCTCTCAGTTCTTGTCTCAGCTTGGCCTGAGCGCAGAGTTTTGACCAACCTCCATCATTTGTCTGGAGTTCGGATTTTCTTCAGGATGAATCAGAATGGAAAAGAAGTTAGGGAAAATCAGGGGAAAAGTACCAGTGACACAAATGCTTAAGATCCCAAGCAGTTTGAAGCCACAGTATTTTCTTGAGGGAAATTTTAACTTTAGCAAAAGAAGACTCGTTATTTGGGGAAGATTATTTTTTTTCATCCTGGTCCTAGTAGAGTCTTCTCCAGCCAGAGCCAAAAAAAGGAATAAAATCTGCCTGACCCAGAGGGACTGTCTTCCAAATGGTCATTGAAGAGGCTGAAAGACTTGATGGCTCCTTAGATAGTTCCTTATGGGTAGTATTTGACATGCTTGGCTCAGTTTCTTCAGTGATATGGTCAAATAAGTGGTTAAGTATCTTGCGTTAGTTTTTTAATTGGCCCCCATCTGAAAGTGAGGCACCAGTTTCTATTATTTCTTTTCCCTATGTTGAGACAAATACTATGGCCATTTGATTAAGTGGTTATAATATAGTATTTATGAAGTCCAATAAAACATATACTGATGTTTTATATTTCACTTCACCCCAACTCAGAGAAAGTTTTTAAGACTTGCTGGCAATGAAAATTACTATTGTATAAGGTCCTTCAAGTTGTCTACTACCCCATGTATTTATCATGCTGATGGCAACATTTATAGTACATCTGAGACTCCAGGAGATTTACTTTTTTTTTTTTCAGAGAGCTTTATCAAATCCTTCAAGTAATGTCCATTTTCTTTCTCAAGGGGTGGTCACCAAGGAAATTATCTTAGTGTCCTGTTTATAAAATTGGCTCAGCTGCCGTGATGAAGAATAACAATATCTGAGTCAGGCATCATTCTCATCCTCCTCCTGCCCTCACAGTTCAAGATAGCAGTTCAACAGAATTTGCAAGTAAAGGTTCCAGCAAGAAGTTTCTCAGATGATGGCTTTCAGATGTCTTTTCTACAGTGCCAATATTAGAACCTCAAGAAGCTGAAGTGGAAGTAGTCACAACTCTGAAGGGGTATAAAACAAGGTTTTAGTGGCACATAATAGATGAACACAGAAACACCAGTGGCCACTCCTTGTCCATAAGATTGGGACAGCAGATTTTAGTTCATAAGGAGAACTGAAGTTCTCTGTTAGAAGAGCATCTAGAATCCATGTCCTCAGTACCAGTATGAAAAGTCTTAGACTAAGTATAGATCAAGGTGATTTAAGAACTGACTTAAGAATCTGTAGTCCCTCATCATCTGTCTTGGGACTCCAATTCAGGGTACTAGAATTCAGCATTCAGCATGGGACAGTTCATAAGTGACTCTGCTTTATCTGCCAAGACAAAATTATCCTTAGAAGAAATCCAGTTTTTCTGCTTAGAATCAATATCCATTAGGCACCAGAGGTATCCTTCCTTCATTATGTGAAATATCCAGGAAAAGAAGTAAAACTTGCCAAACGCTCATCCTTCTATTTTAAGAAGGAAAAGTCCAAAGTTGCCACTTATCTAAATTCTTGCTTGTTTAAGTCTGTCACAGAAAAAATCATACAGATTAGCTGCTCAACAATGGAATTGTTGGAAGAAGATTTTGTATTGAAGCTAAAGCTCTGACTTCATTATTCAGAGTATACATCTCCTTCAACTACACAGTATTGACATCAGTTTTGTTATTACAAAGATTACCAACTTTTCACTGTTCTGGTTTCCAATTATTAAGAAATCTGTGTTTTGCCAAGGGATGGAGATAGTTCTGAAGCGGGATTTTATCTTCTTTAAAAATGGGAGGTCAAGAATTGTTCTAGGTATAATTAATATCACATTGCCTGGTAGAATCTAATTTTTACCTTATGTCTCATCTTATGAATAATTGGAGATAGTGTTGGCTTCAGCATTAAGTGTTTTATATTTTCTTCCCTCGAATGTTTGCTTTGTATACCATCTTATCAGGAGAACTTGAAAGCTTGCTTTCTGTTTTGTTATTGTGATTTGGCCTAGTAGAAGTATTTCCTTGATATGGAATTTGGATTATTTGCTGAATGATCAGATTGATTCTTCTGGCTTTTAACACAAAACAATATAGTTCATACTCTCAGACTTACCATATTTAACAAATAGGGCTGCACCATAGTAATTTGATAGAACCAATGTTTGTATGTTGGGATGATAGCATAATGAAATTATGGGACTATTTTCTGGCATTTTTAACTTCCACTAGCAGACCAGTTTCATATTTGTTGGTGGACAAGATTGTCATCTTTTAGAGCTGTTGCAAACATGTCATTTGTCTACATAGGGACAACTTCTACATAAGAAAAGTCATACCCATTGTCATTATCTTGGGCTTTTGGTTGGTTGGGTGTGCATATGCCAAAAAGGAAGTTGCTGGTAAACAAAAAGTCTCTGGTTTGTATATATTATACAAAGTTAGTAATTACTTACATTCTAACCAATAATAGTTAGTTTATATGAATTTCAGTATTGGCGCCACAGTTGCTTGAAAATGAAAACCTTTTTCTTAGAAACAGGTGGTTGCTGTAGCAAAGATTTCAGTGCCCCCCACTCCAGGTGCACTGCAGCTCTATCCCCAGACTGTTTGTAATTTCCCCCTTTCTCCATGTTCTTGTATGAGTATGGAAACAGTTGGTAGCATATTTAATGCGAGAAAGAGCTGAGTTCTAACATGAATTGGATGCCCTAATATACATATACATCTTGAATAAACATGGTTTTTCTTCCATTCTGTACATAATATTACCTTTCATTTTATCTCGTAATGATCATTAAATAAAACTTGAACATAGCTCCATATGGAAACAATATGCTGCTATTTTTAGGTCCCTTAATTCTACTTGTGGAAGGTTGTGTCAGTGGAAGAGCCATAATGAGGTGCCAAAACATCTTACTGGAATCTGTCCTATCCCCAAATGTTGATGGATGCCCTAATATGATATTAGCACCTAACTTAATTCTATATTTGTCAACAAGTGGTACCACCTAGCTGACCTTGGCTGATCTTGGAGATAGCTAAAACAGGGGTCAGACCTGATTTAGTACCCACAAGATGATGGGGAAATTGAAGAAACATTCTTAAAGAAATGGCAGTATGGCCAACCACTTCCGTACTGCTACTCTGGAAATTACTCATGATGTGTAGTCATGAGGAGTTAAGCTCAATTTTTACTTTTACCAGTGTTCAGTAAAGGTCATGTTGATGCCCATTTTATCTTTTAAAATCAGTGTTGAACTAATGGGCCACAGAAGTAGATGAATATGGTAATGTCTGTTGGTAATTGTTTAATTTGGTTTCATGCTCTTGATTGCACATAAGTGGTTCTAAGTAATCCATACATATATTATATAACACAAATATTGAATTTAAATATCAATAGTATCCACAGCAACAAACCTTTATTATGGCCTTTAGGCCAGAAATCACTACATAGAAACACGTGTACCTAAAATTATAGATATGAGTAAAAAGTAGGCATAAAGTACAATAAAATAACATAATAGTACTAATATTAATATAATACTAATAATAGTGATGATCACCAAAATTAGCACTAATCTTCAGTTGTAGGTGGGACAAATAGAACAAATAGAGGCACAGAATTGGGCAGTCTGTGAAGATATGTCAGAGTCCTGGTGGGATAGAAGAAACAACAAATAAGCATTGCTTCTGAGCTTTTTGGTTCAGATCACATGTAAATATCTAAATTTACATATCAAAAATTCAGTGAATAATACAAGAAATTACTTTGCTTCTTAATTTTATTTTCCCTTTACTTTAGTTTAATTTTTAAAATGAACTTTTACAGCATCTGACAGTTTTTAAACATAGAATGTCCTTTGTCCAAATAGTTTTAAATTATGAAAAAATGTTTTAAAAACCACATTAATTCTATCTTTACAATATTGGTTAATAAGACATTATTTCTTATACATTTCACCATGTTCTGCTATAGTCATTTATCCCTAATTTTCTCTTCTTGTTTCTTTTTTCAAGGACCCAGTGTTGTCTTCCAGCATGAAAGCACCTCAGAGACCCACTATACAAGTTTGACTATAGCATGGCGGCAGGGTGGACAGCCTGCTCAGATCTCTGAAACGATTCATTTGCTTCGCTTCAGTATTAAATCCACTCAAGACTTCACATTTTGTTCTATGCTGTACAGTTACAATTCATTTATGCAAACTGATTAGTGGGTCTTTGTGTGGCTTTCTGCACTCTCCAATTTGGTTTTCTCTACTCTCTTTTATTTAGGAACAATAATGAATTATTAGAATGCTAGTCCAAGCTATCTCTTGGCACAATGCAACTTTAGGCACACAAAGACCTACTATTTGTACTGTCACATGGGAAATTGTGTTCTCATGATTAGCACCATATATTTCCTATGTTGATCTCTCACTATGCACTTCATGTATGATCCTGTACACAGTGAAAATGCTATTGCGGAAAAAAAAAGAGCAGGGGTAGAATAAAATCTGGTGTGTTGTTTTAAAGGCACTTTATACCACTGCTACATCTATATATTTTATATACTAGAACTCTTTAGTTTGACCTAAAACAAACTTATCTATAAGGTGGCTTTTGCTACAGAAGTTGAAAAGATTCTGCCCTAAATAATATACACTTATTGGCATGTTAAAAGAGAGAGCAATGATTTTAAAAAAGCTGGACAAGGTCTGTTTTTGAGGGAAACCTTTTTTGGAGCCTTGCTGGAAGTCTGAGAGGCCTCTATTTCTTGGGTTGCCCATAACAGTCTTGAGGGTGCTTCTCCCTTCTGCCCGCCCTCCCTTTCCTCCCATTGGTCCTGATTCTGCGGGTGGCTGTGGGATTGGTGGAGCAGGAAGGAGGGCCTTTTCCACTCTGGGAGACGCAAGGGAAGCATTTCAGTGCTCCTGGCATTGTGAGCATTCAGATCCCTGCTGGGAGGGGAAGGAGCTTGATTTGATACAGGAGCAGGACATGGCATGGTGGGCCTTTCAAAATTAAAAGAAGCCATTTGGGTGCCAGATATGTTTAGACCTTTAGAAATAGCATGTTATCTACTTCTAGTTGCTTGTGCTGGGGCTGCACTTTTTAAAAAAAATCCTCAGAGAAACACAGGGATCATGGCCATCATATTACTCTAATGTAGTGGGCAAGGCTGACATTTTTGGCTCCCCCCCCCCGCCATCGTTCGGGGTTGTAAGGATTTTAGATGCAAACTAGATGTATATTTTAGCTTTATTTTCAAGGGGGAAAAAACCACCACTGAAAATTAGCTATTTGCTACCAACATGATATTGAGGAGACCAAGAAGCTAAATAGAGTCTTCAGTTCCCCCCCTCCCCATTTCAGATATAGATACATTAAAAAAAAACACCTTTTAAATAAAGCATTTTTTAAAAATTCCCAACAATTCTATTAAATATTTCTTACTGCTGCATTGCCTTCTGGGAATTTCCTAGTTAACAAACAAACAATTTTTTACTTTTAATTTTCGGTTAATTTTTCCCCATTCTGTAGCGATTTAACATTTGCTGATATTCACCATTACCACCTCACTTCATGGTGCCTTTTTGGCCAGACAATCAAGCTTTTCTCTTCCCCCATATCCATTTGTTAGGGTGGCCTTATCCTGCCTGCTAAACTGCTCTGTACCTCTTGGATAGTTGTGCTGTGTTGCAGTCAGAGTTAGTTGCCCTGTTTTCAGGGGGTGTATTTGCATGTGAGCATATGTTAGATAGGATTTAGGTCTGTGTGGAGTGACCCTTCACATTTTAGTACCTACCCCACATCATGCAGACCCCAACATGAAAACCAATTCAGACCTTAGACTGAAAAAAGTTCCCCATCCCTTCTGTACAAGCTTAGATATTTAATTCTGAATATATATCCATTTTTTTTATTTCAATATCCTAAATATCATTTCAATATCCTTCAATATCATTCCTAAACATCCTTTAATGAAGTCCATTCAGAGTGATTTATTCTCTACAAAGTATCTTTAGCACCACTTCTTCACAGTGCACTCTGTGCATGTTTAGTCCGAAGTAAACTGCTGTGTTCAGTGGCATTTACTCTCTGATAAATGTGTTCAGAATTGCCATCTAAATGAATGTTACATAAGAGACTTAACAAATCACTGATGCTTGTATTAGTTGTACGGAGTAATGGATTGTAGGAGGAGGATCTTTCATGCCATACAGAACAAGTAGGTGCCTCCATCAAGTTATTAATGAATATTTATCTTATCTGTGTATTATCATCATCATCATCATCATCATCATCATCATCATCAATAACAAATCTGCAAATGGCTCAATATTAAGTTGATGATTCCCTTATTTTGCTCATACTAGTATTTACCGTATGACTAAATATGTTAATCATGCAACATTATGACCTTTTCTCACAAGCAACAATTGTAGTTTAACAGCTACCAACTAGAAGATCTCTGACATTACAGGTGATGTAATGGCTTAATCTCAAATGAAAACAGAATATTAGATTCTGTTAGTTAATTCTTGCCAAGCTACAGTTCACCAGCCATTCATAGTGGCCTGATAGGTGCTTATCCACTTTTCTGTGTTTACCAAAATAGCAGCAAAAAGAAGTAAATCAGTCTCCCGGTAGACCTCAGGTTTATGCTGGAGTCAGTGTAAGAATTTCCTAAGATCAAGACCACAACATGCTCCAGGAGGGCTGCAGATAAACACAGGAAAGGAGAGGTTTTGGTGGTTTTGGTTGGTTATCGGGGCTTGTAAGGGTGAGAAGATGAACAGAAAACCTCTGAGAGGCAAACTGTTCCCACTTCCATCTTTGAAAAATCTCCAAGCTAAAGCTAAACTTTTTGGTACAATTTCAGGCTGCTTCTGAGGCCTGAGGAATTTTAATGGCAGAAATGGAAGCAGTTTGCCTTTCTGTGCTTAGGTTGGTGGTAGGGGAAGTGGAAATTCTGCTGAATAGCAACCATTTTGCCATTAAATTTCAGTGGCACAATCTCAGAGTACTGGGGACTGCAGGTTGCTCACCCCTGGGTTATTGGTTGCAGAAATGAATTTAATCACATTTGAGAGTTCAAGTAATATCTGGTTGATTTCCTAGTAAAAGTAAAGGATGTTGGTTTTGATTTTGATTTGTTGGGCTTGATTTAGCACTAATTATTACTGGTAGGATGAACAAATGGTTACCAGTAGGATGAGTAAAAAAACAGATGTTTATACCAGTCTGTAAATTAAGACTCCTCACAGATTAAACATGGTTTGATTTAAGTTGGTACAACATAACTCAAAAAAGGTACAAATGAATAAGAACAAGTGTTTGATTTTTTTAGGCCTTCGCTACTAAATACTGTAGTCTTACTATTATTTATTATTAGGATTCAGTTTTGCAGAGAAATCATTCCTGTATTTATAGTTTTTATTTCTAGTATATTAATATGTTAAGAAAGCTAGGCCTAAGCAGATCATGGCATAACTAAATAATAATTCAGGAACATACATAAAATTTGTGTATGTTTACAGTGAGTTTACCTGCTGAAATTTCAGAAAAGAGTAGTTTAAAAAAAGTCTTGTGCAACAAACTATTTGAGAAGATGTCCAAATTATGATCCTGAGAAACCTATGCAAAACAATATTCACATAAAATAGGGTCAACTTTCTTCTCTAGATTTCAACATCCCAATTTACAAAAGTTGCAAAATAGTTTTCTTTGTTACATTGGATTTTCAAAACAAAAAAGACTGTTTTGATAGATGAGTCCAAGGTTCTACGTGTTCAGAGATGGCTGTATAAATTAAGTTCTTTAGCTTTAAAGATGAATAGCTTTATTTTTGTTTTATTTGGATGGCTAAGGTTTTTTATATGGTCAAAAATAGATAACAGTATTATATCATATAATGAGGCAACATGTTACTTGTCCCCATTCCAGAAATAGAACTAAAGCAGTTCTCCAAATAGGAATGAGGGATTTCCTAAGCTTAGAAATTAATATTCAGCTTTCTTAAAAGTTCTGGAGAATTCAAAAGCTTATGACTTCTTGACATTTTGAATGGGCTATGAAATAGCTGTGACAGTGCTATTTTTTTCTGTTTACAAAAAGAATGTAAAGGTTATAGAATTCTTGATTTTTATTTTTAAAAATGAATTGTATTACCCAAGTATGATTTGCCAGACACGCACAAACCAGTATTTGCTAAACTATGTCCTATGACTTGTATTACTTTTCCATTCAAGTCAATCAGGCTGCTACTGCAAAATGCTGCTTTCATATCATTAATTATGTTTGTTTCTTAAATATCACTATGCTGTATGCTGTTTTGATATTTGTATTTTGAGGCTTTCTAGTATTAAAGCAGTGGAATAATGATCAGTGTTTTGCCATACAAACACAGCCTGTGCTGTGCATGAGAATTGTGTTTTGAACACTGGAAATAACTATGCAAAAATATTTTATTAAAGAGACACACAGAGAATCTACTTATTTATGTTTGGTTTCTTTTCAACACAGTCAACCATGCTCAGGTTTGAGTCAGATAATACATTTTCGTAAATTATTCACTTATGTTGTTCCTTACATTTTGAAACCAACCAATCGCTAAAAGTCTTCTGGAAGGTGACCACATAGGTGCAGAGTACTTTAATGGATTGTTGGTGTATGATAGATGAGAACTTGTCAGCATTTCTAACATCAGTTTAAACCTGTTCATTCAGCTCAGGATTTCAATTCTCACCAAAAGAAAATTCCCAGAATGTAAAAGGGAAGTTACTACTATTAAACTGGGATCAAACCAGTTTCACTTGTAGAACTGAACTTTAAACAAAATCAAGACTACCTTTAAATTTATAACTTAAATATGTATGTCTGCAAAGCCTAGTCTTTTAAGCTGGTATTCATTACTGATTTTTGCTTTCCTAGGAGGTGCTATAGATTGCCAGTTTCCTTCTTAAATTGTTCCATTTCTCACATCCCATGCTATACATTTTTTTCCTTCTCAACCAGTCATGTCATCAGACAGGCCAGTGGCATAAGTTAAAAAGGCCTACCTACATTATTTTGCCCATTTGATAATTCACGAAGAGATTTCTCTAGTCACTTGGAATGATGGTGGGATTCCAGAATTCTCAACCAAAGAGTCTCTAATGTTGTGGCTAATAATGCTGACCATTGCAGAATTCTGTGGTTAGAGAGATACCAATTTTATAGATCCTTATGCTTGTTTTGAAAGAACTGAGGAAATCATCTCACCCTTTATATTGCCCAGAGAGATTAGTATTACATAGTTTCCTAGATTTAGACTGGGTAGGTTGGATTTGAATCCAAGCTCTACCACAAAGCTCACTATGACCCTAACTCAGTTGAATCTCTCATAGGTTTGTTGTGAATCTAAAGGTGGGGGAGAACCATATAAGCTGGTGTTTTTAAATCACTGAGCAAAAAAAAGAAACATATCCTTTATCCAGTACAGACCAGCATTGTTTTTTTCTGACCTTGTACAGAAGCTACAGCCACTGCGTTGAGAAATGTGCAGTTGAAGACGTGCACATCGTAGCATTCATCTTCTCAGCTTGTAATGTTAGACTTTAAAGTAAAAATTTGATTTTTTGAAATATGTTCTTGTGTTTGATGAACTCCTCATAAAGCTGCCATTTGTCACTTCTAAGAATCTTTAATTGTAATTTTTCTGATGCCCCTGGAATTTTATACATATTTTTTAAAAAATAAGTGTGCTGGATTTTTCAAGTGTTACATATTTTACATTTTTTCAAATACATTATTTAAATATACTCCCCCACATATAGTTTACATTCTTCCAAGTGTTAGGGCTGCAATAATTCATATCAGTAAAATTACGGAAATAACAGCAGCTCTTTTAGGACCAAAATGATTAAAGGCCAATTTAGTCGCATTTGAGTAGCATGTTAAAGTCTATTCCTAAACTGCCAGTCAAAATGTTTATGGAAACATCAAAGATTCTAAGTCATGAGAAGCTTGGGGACTTATTTAGAATTTGGCTCTATTTTCTTTGTGGATTAAATTATTCTCTTGAGAGAAGAACAAATAAACTATTGATGAGGGTTTATATGCGTTCTCAGAAAATGTCTCTACTGATAGCTGGACATTATGATTTCTGGTAAAGTTCAACTGGTTTGTAAATGAAAATGGTTTGTAAAAAACAGGACTGAGAGCAACTTCATGTAAAAAGTACACAAGTCCATATTTGGTTATATTTCAGTATAATCTTGTTGATTTAAATAAAGTATTTCTAATGCTGCAAGATTTTTTGTTCAAGGATGGTTTGAATATTTTCTACATAACATGATGACATGCTAACCAGTCATTTCTGTCCTCTTGCCAACTTTATTATACTTCTCAATTCAGGGCATGTATGAGAATGGTCACATTTTTATCACTAGCTGGCAAGACAATAAGGACAGTTGGCTTATATATCCATATTAGTAAATGGTTTTCTTAGTAAACAGTTATCTGTATTATTCATAGATAATATCATTTACTTTTAATGTAGTAGTAAAAGAGGATAGGCAACCTTTTGGGGCTTGTTTGCACATTTGAAATTTTGAGAATATGTTGGGATTACTTTTACAAAAAGATTGCTAAGGAAGACCTTAACTCTTACCCAAATACCTGTCATGTTGGGCATGGCCAGCTACAGAATGCTCACATTCCAGAATGTAAATCAATACAATTGGTCCCGACCCCCACCCCCTCTTATCCCTAGAATATTCTCTATCCCACGTTTTACATCTTTCTTGCTTTGGGGTAGATGGACATTTCCAAATCTCTGGGTTGAAGCTATCCACCATCTTTATTTTTTAAGCAGTGCAACTGTGGTCCAAAGGCATTCCTGTAAATATTATGCTAGTTCTTTGTTATGTTATATGTCAGTTGCTCTTTTCTTTAATTGAAATAAACTTTTAAAAAGCCAGGGGGAGAAACCTGATGCAGGCCAAGGGAGGCAACAGTCAGCAACTGGTGCCCAATTTATAAATCAGTGATGTTTGATTTTCAATAGAGTGGAATGTACTAAAAACATAAAATCCTGATGTAACATGAACAGCTCTGAAGCATATAATAAAATAAATCTAGCAAAACTCAAAACAGCACCAAAAAAATTAAACTTTTTTAAATTTAAAATCATCAGGATATCAAATGTTTTTTTCCTAGTACTATAAAGATCTTAAAGCAGAGGCCAGGAAACCTTTCTAGAGAACATAAAATATCATTGACATAGGAAGTCTTGTCCCATAGACACCTGTTCTTCCTGTGTGAAATTCTTTGCTATAAAAGGAAATTTAAATTATTCTCCTATTAGAAAAATATGGTTTTGTGGAGCAAAGTGTTAGACTGTTATTCCATGTTAAAAATATTCTAATGCCAACATCACAATTTTAACATTAAAGAATTGCTTGTACCAATAGAGGTGAATATGTATAGCTAGGACTCCACAGAATTGCTTGTATATAATGCCTTCGGTCTGAGAATACAGATTTTCCACACCAGTCCTAATTATGACAACTAGAAATTATATACTTGATGAGAACCATGGAGAAATCAGTAACAGATTGTTGGGCTTACTGTACACACATTTCAGAGTCAGTTTTGTTTTCTTTATTCATCAAAAGAGTCATCCTGAGAATTTTCATTGCCTATTTGGTATTAAACAATTAAGCTCAAAATTACCAGGAATGCTTAATTTTACAGGGTGTGCTGATCTCCAGAGCCTTGACACGATGCAGCCCATGGAAAGGAAGAAGCAGGGTTACATACATGAGTTGATCCAGACAGAAGAAAAATACATGGATGATCTTCAACTTGTTTTAGAGGTAAGATCTGCTTGGAAAGAAAAGGTGGTTATAAAAATATTTTCAATGCCTCCTCAAATTTTAATCAAATTGGAAGGTCTGGCGAGAACTGGCCACACAGTATAAATAAAACAACATGCATGCTTCATCATATTGTAAGATTCAGCAGCCCTGAGGATTTCGATATTTTCTATAGTAAAAATACACATAAATCTTTTGGATACACAGTGTATCTTTTGTATCACTAATTTTATTATTTTTAATGCAACTTTGTAGGAACTTTAACAAATCTGTTGTCTTAAGAGATCCATAGGTTCTTCTTTAGTGACTTGAATCTTCCCACAAGTCTCCTGGAATGACCGATGTTTTCCTAGCCCTGTGTGCCTGTTCCTGAAGTATAGCTTTAGCTTTTACAGAAGCTAAAGGGCATCTGAAGCCTTGAGGTCAAAACCTCTGAGTTGTGCAGTTTCTCTTTTGAAACCCTATTCAGCTCCTTCCTTGAGCAAAAGATTGCAGCTACTGCTCAGTCTCAGTTTTGGGATGAAGCAAAATAAAAATACTTACTGGGGATTACTGTTAGCAGTCGCCTGAGTTTTTAAATATTCTGTAATTTCTAGGAGGAATCATCCACAATTTGACATTCAGTTAAAATGCATATGGCTTCTTTTTAATCCTTTATTTTCATCCAAAGCAATTAAGTTAAAGACACGGAGAGCCATACTTTCTCCTTCTATCATAACTGGGAGTGAAATTGAGAACAATGCAACAATTACTCTTAACACAACTCGGGGAATGACATTCAGCTGTCATGCTAAGGCATCAATTCTGTTTTTGTTTATGTGAACCCAGATTTTGTGATTAACAAATCATGATTTGTGGCATAGCATGATGTGAATCTAACCAATGTTAGACTCACATCATGCTGTTCATCAACCCATCGCTTATGCATTGTGTAAACTCAACCAATGAGAGGGTTACCTCTTGTTCAACAGTGTGATTATCTTAGTTACCATGTGATGTCTGCCTTGAAATCATTGAAATTATTTAAATAAATATTGAAAACAAGGCATTAAATGACTGGCATAAAGAAGTATCAAATTATATATGGTTTTAATAACAAGTCAAGGATTAAATTCAAGATTCTACAGGAATTGAAAGAACAACTCAAACTTTAATTTTATTATCAAGATAGCTGTCTAACATAGATTACAGACTGGATTGCATCTCGTTATGGCCTGGACATCTCCATGAAGGAAGCTTGACTTCCAGATGGTATGCATAAATATCTCTGGATTGATTGAAATAGAAACAAGCGGTTTACAAGAGATAATAAAATAAAGAACAGCATACTGAGTATTTGGGATAAATACCAGAAAAGAATCAGTCCAGATTTATCACCTCTTGCTTTGTTTGTTTATTTTTATGAAAAGGAAAGCACAAAGAAAGTACAGTAGAGATTAATTATTCATATGGATTACAAGATTTGATTATTAATAAGACAATCTCTTCAGACTTTTATTTTTGTAAGGGCCTCATCTGCCTCATTGGTTTTAATATCTTCAGATGAATAGTATTATATTAAAAGAACTGCAGAAACAAAGGAATACTTAGAGATTTGACTGATTTTGAAAACCTTATAATATGAAATTTGGAACATTGTTGGGCCTTATCTACAAATTGCTGAAACATGACTCAGAAACTGAATAAGTTAAGATTGTATGATTAAATGGATGCAAAATTGTGATATAGATATGCAACAATGGGAATTTCAGTGAAAGAAGAGGATCAAATTTACACTGAATATCATACTTGGAGAAAACTGATTTAACATGTTTTATTGCTTGTACATTACTCCAGTTCTGATTGTTAAAATATATAGTTCATTTTCTAAATATTGTTGGAAATGTAATGATCTGGTCAGATCAGGAAAGGATGCTTGATCCTCTTGGGGGAAGAATGGCTAAATTGTGGGAATATGCATTGAAGTCCAAAATAATTTCATATCTTAAAAATAAATCTAACAAAGATTTAATTTAGTTTGTAAACCATTTCAACAATCTCATATATGGATTTGTACCAGATCCAAAATTTGGATTTCTTTTTACATAAAGTCTTAATATTTCAGTTTTATAAGTTTATATGATTTCTTAAATTTCTATGATTTATATAGGGCTGTTTACCATTCCTGATATCCTGTTTAGAGCTTAGTACTGATTTTCAGTTTTTTAGGGTGATATAATATGCTAAGTTATTTTCAGTTAATCAATGAAATACTGAAAAAAATTAATTTCTATGACACTTGTAAATTCCATTTATTTACCTACTTTTTATCTCTTTCTCTCTATTTTTTTTTACTTTTTCTTCCTTTTTTGTTTACTTATCTTTCCTTAAAAATAATAAACAAAATACTATTTTAAAATGAAAGATGATTCCCATGAACAGTCATCACTATGTCAATTCTGCTTGGGGTAGAATCATGGATCTGGAAGTGATTTTAAAGGTCTAGTTCAACCCTTTGACAATGCAGGAAATTAACTAATGTAGCAGACCTGAAAAGGGTCACAGAGTCTCTGTTTAAGCTTTTTTAAACCATCAGGGGAAATAAATGATTCCATGCTCCAACAGTCTGCACCATCCAGATCTTCTTCCTAATATTTGCAGTCCATTTAGACATGGTGCAAGTGCATACAGATCATAATGAATATGAAATTCAGATTGCTTAACTTAGACTTAAGTGGTCATCTATGCCAGCATGCATTCTGCCTTCCTTCCATAATGGCCATGCCTTCTCTGACCACAAACTGTTGTGGTAGGAACCATCTGAGTAGGAGAATGCTGATCTTATGTCCTAAATGTAAATATTTTTCCTGGCTACAAATCTAGAAATCTCTAAAGTTGGTTCACCTCTCACAGGAAACAATATGCAAATTTTGAAGAACCAGTTTTTTTCATCAGGTGAAATAGAAGATAGAGTTCCAGAATCTCCAGAAAGGAATTTAGTATCTCCTGTCAGTGTTGCAGGAGTGAGAGAAGCTGCAGTTGTTGCCTTTCCCAAAACTGACAAACTGAAGAGTGAGAAGCTAGTTCTCTTTGCATCTGGTTATTCTAATTCAGCAAGGTCAAATATTTTGAAATACATTATTTAGCATCATACAAACAGCTTGAGTGCAGTAGAAAAAAACAAAATCTTTCATGAGTTATTAGTTATTGAGTCATCTGTGATTGGAGATGGGAGTATCACTAATACTGTTCTTCCTAATCCCTGTAGGTTTTCCAGAAACAAATGACTGAAGCAGGCTGCCTCTCGGAAGCTGAAATGGGATTAATCTTTGTCAACTGGAAAGAGCTCATAATGTGTAATACAAAGTTATTGAAGTAAGTGCTGCCACTGTTTTGTTAATTTTTCTGCTGTTAAATGCCTCAATCCAAAAGGGTAATCATACCATTAAAATACACTCCCACCCACCCCCACAAACACACTGTTGAGATGGAGACATCAGTTACCTATTAGTACCTCTTACCTCAGTGTTTGTTT